GCAACCAGTCCTGGCCAGATAGGGTACTGGAGGCAGAAGAGACTCTTTGACAACTAACCAATGTGCCCAGAGCAGTGGGGCCACGGAGCAGAGTTGGAACGATGACAGCCAACAGAGGAGCTGGAGGTTTAGTCCTTGGAGTCCAGGTGGTCTGAGGATCAGGAGCAAGTCTGGGTCCATTCCTTCCCTTGCATGCAGCACTGTGTGGGGAGATGGCTCAGGAGAACAGTTGGTGCACGGAATGGGAAAGAACAACATGGCCAGAAGTAGCGTATTAGCAGTTTCTTTCCGGCATCCTCTCTCAGTCAGTGGGAAAGGGTGACCTGAAACTGGTGACACAGCCAATCTGGCAGATGGTGTGGAGCTTGGCCACTAGGAAATACGAAAGTGCTTGGAGGAACTGGAGGGGACTGCCATGGGGGCTGGGTTCAGCTCACACCTATTATTTTCCTCGTGCATTTGGGACACTTCAGTGGATCCTGCCTCAAATCCAGGCACAATGCGGGCAGCGTGCACCACATGCACCTTGTTGCGGTGGTTTTTCCTCAAGAGACAGCTGAAAACTTTTTTGAAGCCCTTGCGGAAGTGCTTGGAGACCAGGGCGTAGACGATGGGGTTGAGGCAGGAGTTGGCATAGGCCATGCAGTGGGAAAGTAGGCGGAAGGCATAGGTGGCCTGGTTGAAGGGGAAGTCTCCATAGAGGTATCGGAGGATGACTACATGGTAGGGCAGCCAGCAGAGGCAGAAAAGGATGGTTACAATTATGATCATCTTGGTTACCTTCCGCTTGGCCTTCCTGGACTCTGATATGTCCTCCAGGGGGTCCACTGCTGTCCACAGGTACTTGATGGTCCTGGTGTAGGAGAGGCTGATGACCAGCACTGGGATGACATAGCTGAAGGCAAATGTGCTGGTGTCCATGACCTTGCGTCTCCACTCCTCCCAGCCAGGCATGCAGATGTAGCGGGACTCCCACTCAAGCAGGTCATAGTAGCTTAGGTAGGGCCCAGCAAAGACCATGGAGAGGCCCCAGATCACAGCTATGGCAGCCACCGTGTTGTGGGGAGTCCGCAGCTCCCGGGAGCGCAGTGGATAGCGAATGGCCAGGTACCTGGAGGGGAGAGCAAAGCAACCAGCACTGAGATTTCAGCCAAGCTCTGCCTGGCCACATGAACTCCAGGGACAAGAGAGTTGCATTCATTCTCCTGAAGGTCCCTGAGCAGTGGCCCTATGTGTTATCTCACACCTGCTTTGAGATACAGTCCTGGGTAAAGCAGCTTTTCTCTTTGTAGCAAGGATACTTTTCCTCCCAAGGCTGAGGCTGACTCACCCCTCTGTACACGGTGGGGTGGGTTATGTCCCTGAGCTAGGGCCAGAGCCATGGTGCTGTGGAGACCATGCTGATATCCACTGCTTGGCAGAATTATCTATCAGAAAGAGGTCTGAACTGACGATTCAAGACCTGGAGAAGCTTCACTGGGTGATGGGCACCATGCAGGCTCCTGCCCACTGAGGGCATGTTTCCAGCCTTCTCTGGCTTTTGGATCAGTCTGGCAGGGGGGAGATTGGGTCACTGGAGCTGTGGCTGCCTCTACCTTGGTACCAAAGCACCAAGTGGGCCCTTGCCTTTTGGTACTGTCTGCTTTCTCAGGCCAGCCCAAAGCAGCCAGTGATGGTCTGGCTGCTCCCTCCAGCAACAGTGGCCAGCTACGGTGTGATGACCAGCTCTGCTCCCCCACCTCCAGGCAACACCTTAGGGCAAAGATGTAGATGCCAGCAAGTAGAGAAGGTGACTTGGTGCTTGTGGGTAGGGGATGGAGAGGAGCTGTCAGCACAGATAGGATTGCAACTGCTGAAGCCTCAGCCTGCCAGTGTCCACAGAAGGATGCTCATTTGATGCACTCTAAGGCCAGCAGAGTGGGTAGATAAGACACGAAATTAGTGTGTGACAAAACCCGTGTTGCTTGCTGGTCCTGTCAACCTGAAAGCTGCTGGCAGCTCTGCAAGAATCACTTCATGTCACGCTGAAATGCAGCCACCTCTTGGGTGGAGCACTTAGAGCACACAGGTGCCACCAGAAAAGGGGAGAACACAGGCACTAGAACCTTGCCAAAAACGTCCTTTTTTTAAGACACGGTCCCTGCTTCTGAGGTGGCTGGAGAGACAGTCTGCACTCACGTGATGTAGGTGCAGGGAAGCAAGGGGCTTAGACCATGAGAAATCTTGTGTCTTCCTCATGACAAGAGCCAAACTGTGTAACCTCCGGAATCCTAGAGGATCAGCATATTTTTGTTGGGGATGACCCCTTGCCCCAACCAGGGGATGCTGGCATCTCAGGGTGGGTGAATTGCTGAAGTTTCTGCGAGTGGCACCTGGGAGCAGGACAAAGTGGAAGGTGGCTGGAAGAGTAGCCCAACCACACTTTTTTTGCTGGGATTTAATCTGTCCCAGATATTCCCTGGTAATAAAGTTTCCTTCTGCCTGCAGTGCTGTGAACCTCCTCATTGCAGAGGGCTGTTTGTCCCTATCTTGTCTTGGTACCTTGGACAAAAACACAAGGAGCAAGACAGGCCAGGACATGTTCCATGTGGCAGTCAAGGCTGGGGCTTACTCCAGTTGGCGACCTCTTCCTCATCCTGGACCGTAAGTATGGGCATAGTCAGGACTGGGGCAGCTGACACAGTTGCCTTACAGAGCCCTTGAGAACAATGTAGGTGGCACCAATCAGGACCAGAATGTCCTGGATGATCTCCCAAGAAGGGACTCGGCTCATGGTGCAGGTACCTTTCTGCACAGGGTGCAGGAGGGCTGGGGATGGTGGGGAACAGGAATCGCTAGATGACAGGTTTTGTGTTGGGTTGGCAGCCCCTGGGGAGTGAGACGTGTTTGCTGCGGGACTGAGATCTCTCTTGGGTATTTATGTGGCTTCTCTTACAGTGCCCTCTGCTTACCTTGCTGCCCGCACACAATGCTTTTCTGAAATGGTGGCTCTGAGTGCCATCTCTAATACTAGGTGACTCCCAGTAAGAACCTGTGGGTACAGCGGGGAGCTGAGCTTGAGTCTTAGTGCTGTAACCACAAGGCAGGTCTTCCCTGCAGAAAGCACAGATGGGAGCAGCACCAGCTTTGCACTCAAGAGATCTGGAAGCGGTGCTTGGGGGTTGTTAGGGCAAGAGAGACACAATTGGTCACCAAATTGCCTTTGGCATGGATTAATACCACTGGGGTTTGAACTGTCTGCCTAATGGTGGTGGCCCATGACCTCACACCCTCACTTAGCCTACCCTCTCAGACTGCCCTCCTTCCCCAGCCCAAGGGTGTCTTTAGACTGTTACCTGTCCACAGAGACGGCAGCCAGAGTAAAGCTGCTAGCATACATGGTGAGGTAGATGAAGAAGTGGACAGCCTTGCAGATGAAGGAGCCGAAGACCCAGCCCTCAAGGGAGTAGATGGTGGCCTGGAAAGGCACGCAGAAGACAATGAAGAAGAAGTCAGCCAGGCTGAGGTTGAGGATGAAGATGTTGGTAGTGTTGTGGCCCATTTGCCCGTTGCGCAGTAGTACTGCCAGCACCAGGCTATTGCCCACTGTGCCCAGGAGGAAGATGAGGGAGAAGACCACAGGGACAATGATACTGGCAGGGCTGAACTGGTAACTGTCGGAGGAGTTCCAGTACCCAGCCAAGCTTGCGAAGTCCTCGTGCTCCGTCATTCTGTGTCGTGGTGAGGTGTTGGAGCCTGGGGCAACACAGGGAAAGATGTGAGAGACTGAAGAAACACTGCTTAGCCTGTTAGCTTGGCTGATGGGTCTGTTGGCTCACTGGAGACACGGAGCCCCATCTCCAGCTCTGTGGACCCACATGCTTTTCAGCAGGTTCCTCTGGACACTGCTGGCCTGGAGGACAGGTATAGTTAGGTAGGGGGTGAGGGGTGTCCTGCACCCCTATTCTGGCCCTGGAATGTATCCACAGCCCATGTTCAGATGCTGCCTTAGACTGATGATGCTGGAGGTGAGGTTTGGGGAAGGGGAGAGGAGAGGATGGCATCTGTCCCCAGCTTCCTCCTCTGTGGGAGAATGCAGCCAGGATCTCTGCCTCTGAGCTGGTCCAGCTGATGGCGGGATGGGTGTGACATTCCTTCCCACCAATGGGGCTCCAGCCCCAAACCAACCAGCTGGACAAGCCAATACTGACAGGCAGAGTTTTATCCCTCCCCTGCTCCCAGCTCTTCTGGTACCTGCTCTTAGAATAAAATTCGCACATGGGGCACAGGGCTGGAAATGCTTTTGGCAGTGACAGCTACTACACAGCTCCATGTTGTGCCCAGGTGGAGGCTTTCTGGGGAGGACAGCTCTGATGGGGCCACTCCTGCTCTGGTTTCGGTGTTAGTAGGGATGTGCTATCAGAGTGTGTGGCCAGCTCACCGCGAGTATGGAGATTGCAGAGTCTGTGCAAGAAACCAACCTCTAGCTTGTGCATTCTCTTGCAGGCGGGGGAATTAGCAAGTGCTCCCTGGGAAGCACTAGCAGCATGAGCGCCTGAAGCAGAAGCGTTGCAAGGGGCATGTGAGCAAGGGTCCCTGGCTGCAATTGCTCCCGAGATCAGCGCAGATTTGGGGATGCCAGCAAGCTGCCTGGAATCACACCGAGCCCTGTTCAACACTACTACAGCTGTAATGAGACCGTTCCGGTACAGTTGCAAGTATCCCCAGAGGCAAGTGCCAAACGCTCATAAAGCCTGGGAAGCAGAGCTCCCCCTTGCTTGGCCACCTCTGGGGCTCAGCCGGGGAGGCACCGCTGCCCG